TGACAGCTTTTATCAAGCAGAATTCAACTGTTGTTTAGTGATTTTGATCTTCTGAATGAGCTGGATAGCTTCAAGAATATCAAACTTTACTTTCCAAAACATATTTGATGTCATTGTTGAGGAAAACTGTCATGTTAATAATAATAATAATAATAATAATAATAATAAATACAGTCACTGCGAGAGTTTTTCTACAAGAAACAAGAAACATCACAGTTACATAAAGCAGTAACTCTAGCAGACTCAAATAACACACCATTAAACTTACACTCACAACATACAGACATGACACAACATATAAAAAGCATAGACAACATTAAGCAATCATGGGCTCAAAAGGCTCTCCATGGCAGGCATCCTTACGACCTGGCCCAGGATTTTGTTGACAAAACTGCGTCAAACAGCTGGTTAGATCGGGGATGCCTCTTTGGGGAGACGGAAGGATTCATGATTGCCATACAGGATCAGGTCATAAATACTAAAAACTACAGAAAACACATACTCAAAGATACAACACTCACAAATGACACATGCAGAAAATGTCACATCATGCCAGAAACTATACAACACATCACTTCTGGTTGCAAGCTCTTGGCACAGACAGATTACTTACATAGACACAATCAAGTAGCAAATATAATACACCAAGAGCTTGCAAAGAAACACAAATTGGCAGACATCCACGAACCATACTACAAGTATATTCCACAGACAGTATTGGAAAATAACACGCACAAAATGTATTACGACAGAGCCATAATCACAGATAAAACAATTTACCACAACAGACCAGACATCACACTCATTGACAAACACAATAAAATCACATACATTATAGACATAGCCATTCCAAACACTCACAATGTACAAAACACATGCACTGAAAAAATTAGCAAGTACACAGAACTCGCCCAGGAAATAAGGCATCTGTGGAGGATGGATAGGGTGCTTATTGTACTGTACCTGTCATTCTCTCCTGTACAGGTGTGATACCACACACACTACACAAAAGCCTGGGAACATTACAATTGAGTAGAAATACATACATTACACTACAGAAGGCCACTATATTGAATACATGTCATATTGTTAGGAAATTCCTTAATACAGACACTGACACTTAAACACACATTTAATTTTAGTTTTGTTTTGGTTGCTATACCTTGACTCTGGTCCGGCATAGTACACAGCCACCGGTGTGTACCGAGTATAACCCACTAAACCCAACACATAATAATAATAGTTTATTTGACATATAATTCAATACAATATCAAAGGGGGAAAAAACAAAACAATAAATTCGCTTAACTCAAACCATCTAATTTCTTTAACATCTTGTTAAATTTTAACAAATTTACGAAATCTGAGTTAAAACCACCATGCAACATTCTTAAGTATTCCCCGTACATATCATTTCCATAATTGCTAAACATATGGAAGCACCAATCACTGTAACTATAAACCTGGTTGCAAATTTTACACACCAAAGAAGCACTTCTTGACTTATAACAGTTTAACCGCAGTTTCGCAATCTGTTTTTTCATCGCAATTGAGATTCCAGCATCCCTTAAATATCCTGCCATGCCAAAATCAGGTTTAACCAGGCGATAATATTGTAGCAACCCAGAACTATTCAGCTTCTACTCTCACATAAACAAAAATTAATTTAATATTTTTCCAATGTACTTCAAACAACCAATCTTCAACGGGACGCACCACCACCTCCTTCAATTCTTTATCAATCATCAATACCATCCTACCTCTTTTTCGCTCTTTATCAAATATACTAGTAGCGTTAATCTTATAAAATTCTTATGCATTACTTACATCTGTCGGTAGCTTTCTTGAATCTAATTCACCCAACCAGATTTTCATCCAACAAGTGATATGAAACTTTCTCACAATACTCCAATATTCCATTTCATATTCCTTCTTCCATCCATTCATATTCCAACTGAGGATTTTTAATGAATCATGCTTACTCCTAAAAAAGAATCACTGACACAACTATCCTCTTCTTTATCCTTGACAGTCTTGCGAGTGTTTCCACCTATCACCAATTTATCACCCCTGAAATAAGCGATTTTCCCCTCCTTTCTAGCCTGTCTTAAATTATCCATCTGTTGTTTTCTCTTCTCTCTACATTCAACGGACAGGTCCTCCCTTATGCACACTGCCTTCCTCCAGTCAGTAACATCCAATTTGTTACACTTACTCTTCCAGCTGCTCAATATATCTCTTTTCACCTGCATGGAAACATAGGTAACCAAAACCATCATATTATTTCTGGTATTTTTAGTAAGTCTAACACAGTCAACAAAGACATTCGATAAACCAACAACATCCCGAATTAACTTCGATACTGTATCAAAAGGATTTTCCCTATCACTCAACTCCACATTAAACAGTACCAAATTTCTTTTCCTTAGATTGCTTTCAAGTGTGTTAACTCTTTTGGTTAGAGTAGTGACAACTTGCATATTATTACGATCATCTCTGCAGTCATACATGGATTCTAATTTATTGATTCTCTCTGACAGTATATTAATCTTATCGTTCATTTGCACAAAATTGTCTTTTACTAAATGTAATTCCGTCTCTATTTTTAATTCTATAGCATCCTTCATTTCACTGAACATACCTCTTATCTCTTCTAAGAATAATTCTTGATCCAAATTCTTTCTAGAGTCTCTCACTTTAACAGCACTTCCTGTGGAACAGGACCGCAAACGTTTACCTGGTGGTGTTCTTAATATCTTTGCACTCTTCTCGAAAGCTGCTTCCTTTTCTTTGGCACTATCCTGATCCATACACTCTTTAATTTTAACAAATTTATCCATAATAAAAGCAATCACAAAAGCTTAGCCGCAACAGGTACAACTTCACTTCAAAACATGTCAACAGCCTCAGTGACTATAGCGCCCCCCAACTGTCATGTTTCAAAATCGATGAAACAGTGCATGAATGTACAATTTCTTGAAACCCAGAATAACCTTCTGATTCGTTGGCTGAATCAATGAAGTGAGATTCAGAGGCAGAAACTGAACTGTCAGTTAGGGAAAGTCTTCCAGCAAATTATCTTCAAGGTTTTTTGGGTGTCCTGGTTCATTGTCCAATAGGAATAGTGCTTTCTATGGCAATTCATTGGACTGAAGGTAATTTTTGATGCTTGGAGCACAAACTTCAAACAGCCATTCTTTGAAAAAGCCTGTGTGACCCATGCCCTTTTATTTGATCTCCACATCATTGGCAATCTTTCTTTAATTATGGAACTTTTTTAATATTCTAGGGTTCTCAGAGTGAGAGATAAGATTTGAGATAAGCTTCATATCACCACTAGCATTAGCTCCCAAAAATAATGTCAATTAGTTTTTCATGGGTTTATGCCCAAGAATATTTTTCTCACCTTTTGTATTGTAGGTATGGTTCAGCATGCACTTCAAAAATTTATTTCTCCAGCTTTCTCTTGAATGATAGTCATACTGATTACATCTCTCTTCATTTTCCTTTCTTTTATCTAAACTGAAAGCAATCTCTCCATTTTTTCATGGATGGCACATCTTTGTTTCTCAGATATGATTTTCATTAATTTTTTAGTTGCTTGAGACTTCTTGATTATAACTTTCTTAGGTAAGATTGTGCCTACTGTAGACTTGTTTAAGTCATACTACCTAGCAACATCAGACATGTTCTGCCTACTCTCTACCTTGGCTATTATCTCTTGCTTGTTTCTACAGTGAGCATTGTTCTTGACACTACACTTTTTTTAGGCTCCATAATATTATCAATTTCTTTTTTAAATAAAAAGTTTATAAAAGCACTTACAAAATTCAGAGAACAGAAATCAATTAGTGCACAAAAAATTATGTAAATGTGAGGCTGGACAGAATTTGAAATTTGGTGTTAAACATTAATAAATATCTGATGGGACAGTTAAACCCTCCCCTTTTGAAAATAAAAACCGATGCAAAATTTAATAAGTGCCTGACAGTCTCGTGAAGACTATAAAAAATTATTTCTGTCAGAAAGTTAAACAAAAGGCTGGAATTACAAGGGAGAGTTTCAAAGTTTAGAGGAATAATATTTGATCTGTATCATGTTGAGCATTGATGTTGATGTTTCCTGTGCTTCAAAAGATTTCGAACTGTCACCTGGAGATAAGGGAACACCAGTCTGTATTCGTTTTTTTCGTCACTTCTTATTGTGTTTGTTCTGTGAGGTGTTCGTTATTTGAACATGTGTTTGTTGTCCGAACATAAAAATCTTTCGCAAAAGTGTTTGTTGTCTGATTTGTTTGCAGTTCAAACTGTTTGTTAACCAATCACACACTGTATTTGATATTATCAGAAATAGCAAGTTCAAAAGCATATAACCTAAGTTAAAAAACAGTATGAAAATTTCACTTATGATCTGAATTTTGGTTAATTACTAAGAAAATAAAGTAATTAAAATTTAGTAATTCAAACAAACTTGTGTATTATTAAATAGGCTATAATAAGGATAATGCAAGTCAGCTGAGAGCCGTAGAAAGCCATGGACATTAAAGCCATCCCCAGTTGGAACCACGAGTGACCAGTATGGTTATATCTAAATTAGTTTAATAGCTATTTGCTTTAGAAGTGAAGATCAGATGTGAGTTTGAGTAATGTAACTGACAATGCACCTAAACAATAATCAGGAATTGCAGGTTTAAGTCCTGCTTTAGGACAATTTCTTGTAGAATATTCTAAATTTGAAAGTTAAATTTAGAATATTCTGCATCAAACTAAATTAAAAGTTAAATATTTTGTTAGATGACAGACTGACTGTTTACCTATAGCCAAATTGCTTTACATTTAATCATTAGATTAGTTTTGTTATAGTCTGATTAATAATCCAGCAGTTTGTTTGACATTAATAATCAAATTAGGTTGATGTATGTGTTGTTATAAAATTTAGTATTTATTACTTAAAAAACTATGATATTATTTAACTTTTTTATTATAAACATTAAATTGCAGTTGAGACAATCAGTGTTTCAGTTTGTTCAGAAAGAACTTGGGCCACATGCACAGGATATTGACAAAAACAATGTTTTTTCAGATTTTAAGGTAAGTTGTTGTATATTTATATTTTGATACAGGCATACTTCATATAGTATTAATTACTCTATACACTTTGTAGTAAGTTAAATAAATGATTATGATGAAATTGATTTCTTATCCATAATTAATATTATTAGGACAATTTGAATTTTATGCTATTTAATATATCTAATTCATTAAGGATTCTTTGTGTTATCATTTAAAATTTATATAGTTATAAGATTTTATAAAAATATTTCTGAATTAGTATTTTTTTTAATAGTAAATGATTCCATAGATAACATCACAAGATCAAAATGCTAGTAAATAACATCACTAGACCCAATATACTATAAAGCTAGACTCCAACCAATGCCGAATTCCATTAGGATAGAATCTAGCCCGATAGAATTTGGCATTGGTTGGAGTCTAGCAAAATGCTAGTAGTCATTAAAGAAGTCATTTTATTAAAAAAATTATGTTGGCTATACTAGGATTATCTAATAAGTCAATAAATTTAGTTTAATGGTGTTAATGTTTGAAAAGTTTAAACTTTCTTTTTACAGACTCAAGTTTGATATGCTAGGCAAAGGTAAAATAATAACTGAACAACAAACTTTTTACAATTATAAAACAAATTAACAAAATTATAAAAATTATGTATAGGATAATACGAGGGCTATTAAATAAGGTCCGTTTTTTAATAAGAAGAAAAATACTGTAAATATCATTAAAATATATTTTTTCCCATATTCTACATACTTTTATCCACTTTTTTACATAATTTTCATTTTTGTTCAAACATTTGTCATACCACTCAAAAATTTTTAAATTTCAACTTCAAAGAAATCTGCCACCTGCTGCCAGAAGACATTAGGCCACTCTGCTTGTCTTGTATGGCATGGTGGAGTTTTCTCAAGGTCACAATAAGCATCAGGATTGATTGTTGTGCCTCTTGGCATAAAATCCACTAACAAAGTTCCTTTCCTGTCCCAAAAGACAGTTACCATGATCTTTTGTGCTGCAATTGAATAACAGATCATATATCTTACAGTTGGTGGGCAACTCAATTTTCTTAAACATTATAAACTTTTACAGTTCAGTACACAGACAGATGATATGGCTGCAAATGGCATCTAAACATGCGCAAAGCATGCTGAAAGCAGATGCTCATGCACACTGCTGCAATCGTGTGTCATTCGCACTCTCATTCACAAATGGACCTTATTTAAAAAATAGCCCTCATATAATTTATAATGGAGAACAGCCTCCTATGTATAAATGCATTAACATATGATTATATTTATATTAAACCATTATATATAATTGTAAGATTTCCCTGCAATGATAGTGTTAATTCTGACACCACTATGAGATGTCAGAATTAACACCATCATTGCAGATGAGGGTTACCAGGTGACATCCAGGCACCACTGTGTGATTCTACTACAGTCTTTTCTTTTGACACCAAGAAAGTTTGACATCTACTACACGAGGTTTTGAGCATATTTTTGGATGGCAATACATGGTCTCGTATATACACTAGGGGTAAGAGGATGGAGTAGGAAAGGACAAGATTTAGTTGGAATCAATTCACTCAACACAATTTACTACACTTAAACATTTATTAGACAACATGTACACAGTGTATTTGTGTTTTGTGGACACAGAGATTACAAATTTTTGGTACCTCACAAATTGGAACTAGAATCCCTTTTGAGGATCTTTGGAATGTAGTTTTTCAGAAGCACTAAGTAGAAGGATGATGAGGAATCTGAGGGCACAGAACACTAATCCAAAAAGGCATACAAACACACTAAACTGAACAATTGAAAGAACAGATGATGACTGACTGGAATTGGTCATTCCTCATCATATTCAAAGCAGCAGAAATCTTAGAGGTGACCAAGAGTTGTGAGAAAGGTGTCACTATCAATCCTGAGAAAGCATAAGTTGACACTCTCTCAGGTCAGAAAGTTGACATATATTAGCTTTTGGTAAGGTCATCCTTGCATTGTTCTTTTTTTACTTGTTTGATTCTCACATAATTATCCAATAATCTTGTAGGTAAAAACATGAATGGTTAATAGGGTTTTATTTTGTTAGGATTTCCTTGCAAAAACTTGCTTTTGGTTGCAAACTTGTTTTAATAAAGTTACATCCCTCCAGTATGGTGGGTATTCATCTTTGATTACATATTTGGCAAGCTCCATATTTGTCTTAGCTATATTAATAGACTTTTGATGTTTTAGCATACAAATCTTTAATTGTTTAGATGTTGCTCCTACTATATACTGTAGCAGGGAATTGTGAAAGATGTAAGGTTGTTACAGCATATACACTAGATCATTGTAATAATAACAGGAATGTTCTATCCATACTAATAACTTTCTCAAACTTAGTTGAGAGGCAATTGAGAAAGTGTATTCTTGTAGGTTTGTTTAAAAAACAAGTTTAATAGTTAAATTATTTATAAAAGGGATTGATGATGATCAAAATCTTTAACATATGAAAAAGTTGGTTTGAAGAAGGATCAGAAATTGAGGTGTATAAAATCCTCCCTTTAAAGATAAACAAAACAGATCAAAATAAATAGAAGAACATATGGGACATTAAATGAGAAATAAAAAAAAACATGAAGGAATATTAAAAATGGAGAAATGATTACTGCCTTGGCATAGCAGCTAGTTTTGAACAAAATAATAGTGGCTAAATGGGAGGAGACTGATGATATGTTACTAAACTCAAAACTGTTCTTTTAATAACAGCAGAGGTGTTCATCATTGCCACAAATGTTGATCTGACTGTGAATAGAAAATATGAAAAGAATGACTTATACCTCTGGCTATGGCTACTGATGTCATTGGAACAAATGAAAACAATTTGAGAATATTGTGACAGAAATATTAAAATAACTTTGATTTGAGGTTAATGAAAAGCTTTTTTAAACAGATTTTTATTTCAGTGTTGAAAAAACTCACAACTCACCACACTTATATATCAAACACGTACACTGAACCAATATAATGTGTGGTACGAACGACGAAACAAAAAAACAAACGTTTTCGAACCTCTTCTAGGTTCTTCCTCAGGTTCCTTTAGCTTTTTAGCTCGTAAATTCGATATTTCAAATAACTTCGTTCTTGCGATCGAACAGTTCTTTTTTAAAAGATGTGTCGCGCATGCCGTTCAAACTAACGACTGCCGTCAACGAAAGACATTAACGAATGTTGTTTAAATAATTTCTTTCTTAAGATCGAACATTTCTTTTAAATTATCCGTCACGCATGCGTGACATGTCCGCTTGCTCGGAAATAACGAGCAGTTAAAGCGTGTTATGTATCAACTCTTGCCAGGCCATCGACAAGATCATCTCCTCTTTAAAATTTATGCACGTGGTTTCGATAGAGGATTTAAAGATGTGCATC